AAAAAAAAAAAAAAAAAAAAAAAAAAAAAAAAAAAAAAAAAAAAAAAAAAAAAAAAAAAAAAAAAAAAAAAAAAAAAAAAAAAAAAAAAAAAAAAAAAAAAAAAAAAAAAAAAACCAATAATAATAATAATAGTAATATTAAATAAAATAAAATAAAAATAGATAGATAAATAAATAAACAAAATAAATTAATAATAATATGTAAAATATATAAATAAATAATATTAATAATAATAATAATTCTGTGAAATAACTTCACATCTATATTTCATCTAAATTCTCTCCATTAAATTTGTTTTTTTCAAGAAAATAATAATTTGATCTTTGACTTTACCAGCATCACTACTAAAGATATCATTAATTGTAAATTTTATATTCATTTTAGTTATTTCTTTTTGGAAATGTCTTCTTTCTAATTCATATCCACAACATTCCATAAAAACATGTTTTACTGTTTCAGGGAGATTACAGTTATCACATAACCCCGTGGCATGTTTTCCTATTACTTTAAGAGAGCTATTGAGACCCGTATGTCCTATTCTGATTCGGGTCATTATTGTTTCTACTTTTCTGTTTCTTCCCGTTTTCTTTGTGCCTCCTACCTTTTTCTGAATGTTATACAAATGTCGTCCTGTATCAATTATGTCCCAATTATCCTGCCATATATTCGTAACATATCTATTTATTATCATTTTACACTCAGATTTACTTAATGGAATTTCATAGTTTACATTTTTAGATTTTACTGCCTGTTTAGCAAGAATGTCTGCACCTTCATTGCCTTCCACTCCCACATGTGCTGGAACCCAAACAAAATCTACAGATATTTCCCTCAAGTGAAGTTTATATAGAATGTGGTAAACCCTGTCAATTAGGTCTTGTCTTTCTGATTTACTTGATTTGATGCTTAATAAGACTGCCATATTATCCGATGCAATGACATATTTTTGACCATTATATTTTTCAATCCATTCTAAACCCATGATTATAGCTAATAATTCTACTGTGTATACTGTCAAGTTGTTTGTTGTTCTTTTCTTCATCTCTATATTTAGATTTGGGATGTACACTGCTGCTCCTGTTTGTCCTGATTCTGGATCTTTTGATCCATCTGTAAATACTATAATTTTATCCATATGTTGTTTATGAAAGAATTGTTGCACTAAGAAGTTTTCTGAAATATTTTTCCCTTTATTTTTGATTAATTTATGTAATGATAAATCGACAGAAGGATAAATATATAACCAATGATGGATACACGATTGATTAACTGTTGGACTTAATTCTATTTCATGCAACCCTGCATAGTGAGCTTTGATATTACCTATCCAGCCAAAACTATAAATATTTGTTTTTTGATGTTCCCAACATTCCTGTAATATATTATGAACTGGGTGTGTTTGGTCATGTCCTTTAATATTAATCCAGTATAGTAACATTTGTTTCAATCTTCTTATTCGTAAAGGCATTTCCCCCATTTCAACTTGTAGAGCTGAAACTGGTGATGTTCTAAATGCTCCACTGCATATTCTGAGTACTTTTGATTGTTCTATATCCAGAAGTTTTAAATGAGTTTCTGCTGCTGCCATATAGCTAATGCTGCCATAGTCCATTGTTGATCTCATAAGTGATTGATATATATTTACTAATGCTTCCCTACTTGCTCCCCATTCCCTTCCTGTTAAACAACGCAATAAATTATTAACATTTTTACATTTTATTTTTATTTTTTCTATATGTTGCTTCCATGTAAGTTTTTCATCAAAAATCATGCCTAAAAATCTTATATCCTTAACCTGTTCAAGGTTTTGACCATATAACTTTAAGGAGATAGACTTATGTTTTCTAGAGAAGCAGATAACTTGAGATTTTGTTGTTGAAAGTTTAAAACCCCAGTTATTGGACCATATTTCAACTTCATTGATTGCCTTTTGCATTTTATTTCTGAGATATTCTACATTACGACCACGAATCCATAAAGCTCCATCGTCCGCATATAAAGATTTACTGATTCCATGATCTATTTTATCAAATATGTCATTGATCATTATCAAAAATAATACTGGGCTACAAACACTACCTTGAGGAGTACCATTCTCCACAATATATTTACTTGAAAATTCCTTTCCCACTCGCACTTCTATTGTTCTTTCAAACAAAAAATTACTTATCCAATTAAATAGTTTTCCTTTTACCCCAAGTTTTTCCAGTTTTACTAATAAACCTTCTTTCCAAAGTGTATCATAAGCTTTTTCTATATCGAAAAAGACTGCAATAACTGATTCTTTGTTAGCTTGTGCTTTCCTTATCTCTGACTCGAGGCATAAAATAGAGTCCATTGCGTTTCTCCCTTTCCTGAATCCACTTTGATTTGGTGATAACAGATTATTAAATTCTAAATAACTATATAGCCTTTTAGTTATTATTTTTTCCATTGTTTTCCCCAATTGTGAATTCAAAGCAATGGGTCTATAGTTGGAAGGATTTGAAGGATCTTTACCTGGTTTTAATATTGGTATTATTATTGAATTTTTCCATGAAGTTGGTATTTTACCACTATCCCAAATTAAATTAAACAAAATTAATATTGCTTTAATAGAATTTTCACCCATATGTTTTAACATATCGTAACAAATATTGTCTTTTCCAGGAGATGATTGATTAGTATTACTAAGCGCTCTTTTAAATTCAAATAAAGTAATAGGTAGATCCATCGTCCCTCCATTGACAGTTTTTTTGTTATCTATATTTGGATGGTTTTTTAATATATTGCTCCTCAACTCCCTAACATTTGCTGAAATATTGTCAGAACTATGTATTTTAACCAGTGTTTTAACTAATAATTCTGCTTTATCCAGATCAGTTATTGCAACAGTGTTTTCATTTTTAATTATTGGGATTTCATATTTCCTAGTTATTCCATTCATCTTCTTTATCATCCCCCACACATCTGATAATTTAGTTTCTCTCCCTATGGTAGAGCAATATTTTTGCCAGTATTCTCTTTTTGCTTTTCTTATTGTTCTCCTAACAATTGCTTGTTTCCTTTTATAAAATATTAACTTTTCAATTGTATGCTGAACTTTTAGTTGTTTAAATGCTTTATTCCTTTCTTTAATAGCTTTTTTACAGTCCTCATCCCACCATGGAACATTCTTTTTAATTCTACTTCCTGTACTTTTAGGTATTGCTTTATTTGCATTCTGTATAAGTATTGTTGTTAATTTTTCATTAAATTCTTCAATATCTTTAATATCTTCTCTAATAATTTCTCCACATTTAATTTCAGTCAGATTTTGAAACTTGATCCAGTTTGCTTTATTAAATTGCCACCTAGGTACTCGAAATGTTTTTCCTTTAAGAACATCCAGTCCTATTTTAATGGTTATTGGATAATGATCACTACCAAGTGATGTTTTATTTATTACTTCCCACTGCGTAATTCCTGCAATGTTATTTGAGGTGACTGTTAAATCTATTGCTGTTTCTGTGTTCTTTGTAATATTATATCTGGTCCCTGTTCCATTATTTATGCACACCAGTCTGTTATCATCAATGAATTCCTCTACGTTTCTGCCATTTATGTCTGTGTGATCACTTCCCCAAAGATTATTGTGAGCATTAAAATCTCCACACCAAACAATTTTCCCCTGTTCCTGTCCTCTAACTATATTCAGTGTTTCAATAGTTAATTCTTTACATGGATTATAATAATTAATAATGATCATTTCATCCCTACCTGTCCATATTTTAATAGTAATGTATTCATGCTCTTTTCCTATATGGATTATACTGTAACCTATATTATTTTGTACAAGGATCATTATTCCTCCACCCCTTCCATTACCTCTATCTCTTCTGATGGCAGTGTACCCATGTAAAACAAAATCTAATTCTGGTTTTAACCAGGTTTCCTGAATACAGATGATATGTGGTTTTTCTTGTAGTTGTGATATGTAATGTTTAAAATCTTGACCATTTGAGATGAGACTTCTAGCGTTCCATTGAAATATGTTTATGACCATGTGGAAGTAGCACCTTCTGACTGAGTTGGTGTTACTCCTTTACCTATCATATTTTCTACAGCTTCCCAACCAAGGTCTTTAACATCTAGATATTTTTCTGCAGCCCTCACTATGATTTTAATCTTTTCAGTTTTCTTTACTGTCTGAGCTGAACAATTAATCACTTCCACCATAAACAGCACAAAATCCTTTTTGTTCACTATCATTGAATCATTAGGTATTTTAGAGCATCCATCACAAGTTTTTGGTTTTATATTTGGTGTCACTGTTGGTTTTGGCTTCTCTGGTTGATTTGGGATTCTTTTCACAGCTTCAGCATAAGTTATCCCTTGAGCGAGTTTCACTTTTTGGATTTCCTCTGCTCTTTTACTGTATTGACATCCACGGTAAGCAGAAGTGTGTTCTTCTCCACAGTTACAACATTTAATTTTTGCCTCTTTTTCACATTTCCCATATTCATGTTCACCTGCACATCTTCCACATCGTTGTTTTCCTTTACAGATTGCTGCTACATGTCCAAATTTCTGGCATTTAAAACACCTTAACGGAGGAGGAATGTATTGTTTCACATCATAGCTCATATAGCCTATGTAGACTTTACTTGGTAAACATTCACCTTCAAATTTAATCAAGACTGACAAGCTGTTACATCGTTCTCCATTTCTTGTTGTTTGCAGACGTTTAATTTCTTTCACTTTTGCTCCACGTATGTTTGCTTGAATTTCTTCATTTGAGATTTTTAAAGGGACTCCA